GATGATAGGTACAGTTTGGCCTTGATGCACTGTAAGAATGATGAGTGTGGGAACTAACTTGTGTACTTGGTGATAGTGCATGTTTCCCGTAATAATGACTGGTGGACAATTAGTTGATGTATATGTATGTAGTGATCAGTAGGATCGTGTATTCCCCGAGTGTTGAGATGTGTTTATATATGGTGTTAGAGTGTGAACTCGTTTAATATCTAATTTAATTAAAATGAATGATGGGTGTATCATGTATATGATTATGGTGCAGTGATCAGTAGGATCGTGTATTCCCCGAGTGTTGGGATGTGTTTATACTTGGTGTTAGAATGTGAGAGTGCTCACTGTGTGAATTGATTTATATGGTGTTGGTGTATAATATATCTATGCATATATATGTGATGTATGATGATATGATCAGGAGGATCGTGTGCACTTAGTGTGCCTGAATATAATAGTTATGCATTGGTGTTGTGCATATCATGGTGTTTTGGTGGGATGAATCATGTCTCAGGAGGAGCGTAAGTGATTCATCCGTACTCCTTTGTGGAGAATGGTGGGGTTGAATCATGTCTCGGATGGAGCGTAAGTGATTCACCCGTACTCCTTTGTGGATAATGGTGGGGTTGAATCATGTCTCGGATGGAGCGTAAGTGATTCACCCGTACTCCTTTGTGGAAAATGGTGGGTTCGATTGAATGAACCAATGAGTCGGTACCGCATGCATGGTGTTGAGTTGCATATTTGCATTATAATATGTTATATTGTAATTTGAACAGTAGGTTCGTTATATGGAGTTGTTGGGGGTGAATATTGGCGTGGTGGTGTGTTTTACTACCTTGTTTACATGTATTACATTACCATTATATTCTGATCATTATTTCTCACCCCTTTGTTGTTGTTGTTGTGGTCTGTGCTTCTTCGGAAGTACAGATAATCCAGGTGTTTAGCTAGCTTGGATATTGGTGTGACCGTCGAGTCTAGGATGCTCTGATACGTAACACGGGATATGGGTGTTGTAATTGTTTTATGTCAAACGTGTTGAAATCCTGTGACGTATCATGTTTTGATGTATTTTACTTTATGAAACAAATTCCGCTGTATTATTTTGAAAAGAATGAATAAAGTATTTTTATAAAATTTGGAGATGTGATATCCCACTTTTTGGTGAAAACTCTGATTATTATTATAATATTTATATTTTATTTAATACGGGAAGTGGGGTGTTACACATGACACCAAATATTGGCTATTTTAAGGTGTGGGGGTGTGTGGCATATTACAAAAACATGGATCCTAAGAGAACCAAGTTGGGTCCTCGAGGGATAAGATGTGCATTTGTAGGATATGCACAAAATAGCAAAGCATATAGACTTTTAAATTTAGAGTCTAATATTATTGTTGAATCCCGGGATGTAGAATTCTTTGAAAACCTTATAACTAAAGATAAAGAATCAGAGTCGGCCATAAATAAAGAATCTTGTGAAAAAGACTCTTCTCGGATTGTAGAAATACAACCTGAAGACACATCTCGAATAAATGAACCACGACCCGAACCTAGGATAAGCAAAAGAGTCTGGAAAATAAAGAACCTAGGACCAGACGAAATTGATTCTCAATCCATTTCATTTTATCTGGTTGAAGGAAATAGTACAAATTTTATTAAAAGCATTCCGGTAATTCTTCAAGTAGGGGAAGATCCTAAAACTTATAAGGAAGCAATAGCTTCTAGAGACTCCTCCTTTTGGAAAGATGCTATCCGAGATGAAATGGATTCAATTATGTCCAACCACACTTGGGAACTTGTTGATTTACCAAAGGGATCAAGACCCATTGGATGCAAGTGGGTGTTTAAAAAGAAATATCATAGTGATGGTACATTAAACACTTATAAAGCAAGATTTGTGGCAAAAGGATTTAGACAAAAGGAAGGTATAAATTATTTTGACACTTATGCACCTGTAGCGAGAACAACCACTATAAGGTTGTTATTTGCTTTAGCATCTTTAAATAATCTGATTGTTCATCAAATGGATGTTAAAACAGCATTCCTAAACGGAGACCTCGATGAGGAAATCTACATGGAACAACCAGAAGGACATGTCCTTCCTGGAAATGAACAGAAGGTGTGCAAACTTGTCAAATCTCTATATGGCTTAAAACAAGCACCAAAACAATGGCATCAAAAGTTTGACTCTACGATAATGTCAAATGGATTTATTCCTAATTCTTGTGACAAGTGTTTATATACAAAAGTGTATGATAACACTGTAATATTTTTGTGTCTTTATGTTGATGACATGCTAATAATTAGCAATAGACTTAATGGAATTTTAGAAACAAAAAGGTTTCTAACTTCCACTTTCAAGATGAAAGATCTTGGGCTTGTTGACACAATTTTAGGAATAAAAGTTAAGCAAAATAGTGGGGGTTATGAACTTAATCAAACACATTATATTGAGAAAATGCTTGATAAGTTCAAACACCTGAAATTCAAGGAAGTAACTACTCCATTTGATCATGTAATCAAACTTGAAAAGAATGATGGAAGAGCAGTGGCTCAATTAGAATATGCAAGTGCGATCGGATGTCTTATGTACTTAATGCAATGTACTAGACCCGATATATCATTTGCAGTTAGTAAAATGAGTAGATTTACTAGTAATCCAAGTAATGAACATTGGAAGGCAATCACGAGGATATTTGGTTATTTGTTGAAAACCAAAGATCTTGGCCTTCATTATGGTAGGTTTCCTGCTATATTAGAAGGATATACCGATGCCAGTTGGATCTCTGACGTGGGAAATCACAAATCTACAACTGGGTGGATATTTACACTAGCTGGAGGAGCAATTTCTTGGAAGAGCAAGAAACAAACATGCATTACTCTTTCGACCATGGAATCAGAATTCGTGGCTCTCGCTTCCGCTAGTCAAGAGGCAGAGTGGTTGAGGGATCTTCTTTTGGAAGTTCCATTGGCTAAAGACAATGTTTCAAAGGTAATGATACACTGCGATAGTCAGGCCACTTTGGCAAGAGCATTTAGCGAAGTGTATAATGGAAAGTCTAGGCATATAGGACTTAGACATTCGTTCGTAAGAAAACTGATTAAGGATGGAATCATTTCACTTACGTATATACGAACAAGCTATAATTTGGCTGATCCGTTTACTAAGCCACTGGCCAGAGACTTAGTAAGAACAACCTCGAGAGGTATGGGGTTGAAACTCCTTGAGTAAGAGTTCCGACAATGACGGCAACCCAATCTTAAGTTAACAGAACATTAACGTTAAGATTTTCAATGGGTAACAACAAGTCGTTGATTTGGATAATTGTCTAACATTTCATAATTATGTTGACATTAGAAATGAGGGTTGAGTTTTATTTTAAACTCTTAATGAAGTTCAATACCGAGGGTTTGTATCTATTGGAAACAAATACTATATGAACTTCACCTATGTGAATTATGAGATGGTGCCGTCTCAAAGTGAGAGTTGGAGTTTCTCTCATGAAAAATTCATGAAACAGGATAGCACATGGCCATAAATAAGTGCTAAGCGAGTTATGCAGAGGAAGAATCTTTAAGGAGTGTGTGTAAGGTAACACCGGTCTATTCATATGGATTCATGGTTTAAAAGCATTGCTACCTAATATTCCGATTAAACCTTGTGTTATTCTTACTAAGGTTAAGTTTAAAATCGAAAGATACTTAACTGTATTAATACTTCTTATGTCCCATTTCTGGAATTATTATTTTGTCATTATTAGAACAAGTGGGGGATTGTTGGAAATAATATTTTATTTCCATTAATGTTGTTCCAAAATGACAAAGTGGGTGTTATATTTAATTGACAATAAATGCTTAGTCCCACCTTGGAAGAGGAGTAAAATTAAATAGCATTTATAAGGCACTTGGAACAATGTAATTTCCAAAAGAGCTAAAGAGGATAAAGTGTCACATAGTCATATGTGGTGGTGCCAAAACTTATGTCACTTGTCTCATACAAAACACCCCTCGCCGGTGTCGCCACCGGCGGAACCGGAACCGGGGGCGTGGGCGTAGAGGCGCTAGTGGCGGCTTGTAGACGGCACTTGAGCACTTAGAGAGTGTGTTTATGAAGAATTGCAAACTTTTATGAAGAATTGCAAACTTCACCAGTCTTGTGCAGTTTCGAGAAAAAGGCTGACTTATCCTGGGTATTCAGGTCGTTCCAACTCTAAGACAATTCGACATAGAAGGATTATCTAACATCAACCACACTTATTTTGAATCAAAGGGAGTCTATGAAATTTTTTTTCCTAAAAACCAAAATAATTTTTAAATTACCTCTTGTCAAAGGAAAAAAAAAAAAGCCTAGCTTCTTAACATGTAAAGTAAACTATTTTGTTTTTTAACTAAAGAAGTCAAGTATTTTAATTTTTTTATATAAAAATCATTTGAAGAAAAACACATATATCCAAGAAAAAAAACAATAACGATAAAATGTGTAAGTAGGATTCACGTCAAGAATAAAAAAAGCAACAGCGGGAGTCATCATCATCGTGTATTGTTGTGATCTCCGAACCCAAACTGACCTTCACACCACAACACTCTTTTCTGTCGAGATCTCTCCATCTTCCTCTCTCTGCTTTCTAAACCAAGCAGGTACGCACGCACGCTCGCACGTGCCTTCTTCTCATACGCTACTTTCCCTTTACGTCCCTGTTTTTTTTTCCCACTCTCCGATCTCTCAATTTTCTATCTTTTAACAACTTAATTGTTCTATTGTTTATATTTCTCGATTCGTCGATCATGTACCTTTGTTCTTATATACTATTGATTATGATTATAGCCTCTGATCTGATTCTTTGAATTTGCTATGGTCTTTACTTGTGAAATTGCTCTATTTTATTTGGTCTTAGAAGTATAGAATATAGAAATATGATATAAATAGTCTCTAAACTATTCTTCAATTTATCAAGTTAGTCCTAAATTATCACTGTTTCTCTTGTTGTGAATTCTTTTGCAGATGGCAATGCAGGAAGCGAACGCTTCTCCTAGTCCTCAAGTTGTTGGGAATGCTTTTGTGGAGCAATATTATCATATTCTGCATCAATCCCCTGACTTGGTGCATAGATTTTATCAGGATTCGAGTCTCTTAAGTAGATCAGACAGCAACGGTGTGATGAAGACCGTAACAACCACAAAAGTATGTTTATGATATGCATGTATAATTCATCTATGTTTATCTTTGTACTTGTGGTTTATTTTCAACTCATTAATTAGAAGGAATAACTGTTGGATCAGGCAATCAATGAAACAATTGTTTCCCTGAACTATGAAGATTGTACTGCGGAAATAAAAACCGCGGATACTCAGGAGTCCCATGAGAATGGTGTGATAGTTTTAGTAACTGGATGCTTAACGGGAAAGGATAATGTGAGAAGGAAGTTCTCACAGACATTCTTTTTGGCTCCACAAGACAAAGGATATTATGTTTTAAATGACGTTTTTAGATATATTGACGAGAATGATGCCCCGCAGTTAAATTCTGCTTCAATAAATGTCACCAATGAAAATTCCGAGGCAATTCACGTACCGGAGTCAGGTTAGTATGGATTTTCTGCATGTGCATAGATTCAACAATTATTTGCTTTGCTTAAACCTCAAATTGTTATTGTTTGTAGAGGATATGCACCCTTCCGAACATCTTGTGGAAGACCCTGCAACATCTGTAGAGGGTGAAAACTTTAATAGTGTTGCCGAAGTTTATCACCCTCAGGAAACCAAGGAAGATGGGTCGGTTATTGATGAAGAGGTTGTCGTACCAATCACTGATTTAAGTGAGAATGATATTGTTACAATTCACGATTCAACTCCTGCAGTCGAGGATGACCCGCGAAAGACATCATATGCATCCATAGTGAGTATATTCTGTTGCATTTGTAATACTCTTCTGATCTTTAACATTTGTTAACTTGTTAAATTTCTCTGATACGAAGGTAATGAAAAGTAAAACAGCATCTGGTCATGTTTATGTTCCCAACCGAGCTGCAAGAGTGGCGTCTGCTAAATCAAATGAACAATGGCATGCTACCGCAAAATCTACTCCTAGGCATGAGGCATTTGCTCCTAGTAGTGATAGTACACAAGGGAGTAGTGATGTTCCTGAAGCAGGTGTATATTATATTTTTCGATTTCTTACCCTGTGGTCTTTTCATATTCCTCTTATTTGTTTAATCTAATTTGGACTTAAGTGGAAGAAATTCAAAACAACCCCATTAATGAAAAGAGACTAATGAATTGATGAGTTTATAACTTTGTGCATTATAGTGGGTTGAATTCTAGTTTGAAAGTTGACTGACTTGTTTTTTGCTACAGCTGAAGGTCATTCCATATACATAAGGAACTTGCCATTTAATGCAACAATTGAACTTCTTGATGAGGTTTTTAAGAAATTCGGTCCTATTAAGCACGGTGGAGTCCAAGTAAGAAGCAGTAAGGTCTGTGAATGTTACTATCTGCATTTTTAAATAACATGAGCATTATCCGAAGCAAGCTTGTAAGCTAATTTGTAATTTTGTCTTCGTTCAGCATGGTTTTTGTTTTGGCTTTGTTGAATTTGAGGAATTGAGCTCTGTGCAGAGTGCACTTAAGGTACAAGCTGTTCTTTTCCAACTCTTGATTATAGTTTGGCACTGTTTGTATATCTGACCAGGAAAGAATTATTTGTTATCCATCAGATAAGCTTAACTTCAATTTTGAATAAATATAGAATTTTTGTAGTAAATAAGTAATGATACGGCACTAGGTTCTATCTATATTCCCCTTGAAGTTCCTGAGTTCCAGCCTCTGAAAGGAGCGGTTCTGGGTCTTGAACGTTCAATAGTTAAATGAGCTTCGCAGCATCTCAACTTTCAATAAGTTCTCCTCTATCCCTTTGATTGTGTTTTGATAGAACCCACAAAATTTGGATAAGAGAAACAGTATATTATTGAATGAAAATATGAGCTCCATAGCCTTATAATGGAGAAATAGATGTTCCAGAGTCAAAGACTCCTGTCCAGAGAGATATTCAACAAATTCACTACAATAATCTATCTACCTTTCCCTCTCTCTTCTCCCTCCGACAGAATGGCAACATACTGCCACATCACTATGAATTCCCTACTCAACCCCTCTATTGGGTTAATGTCCAATCAATTTTCTTCCATTCATTTTCTTTTTACCCATTTTGAATGAAGAATCAGAGAATGGAGAACAAGTCAACTTAATTGTTTATATTTTTACTCTTCTTTTTTGCTAAAGATAATGATACTTTGTGATATATAACTATAAGTTCACTATTACATCTGTAAGCCCTTGAATTTTATATGGTGGCTAGTTCAAATGAACTTAACCATCTAATGGCTTGTCCAGTGTAGAAATTTTACAGAGAAGCATACACCCCTCATAGGAACTCTATCCAGGTTATTAGAAAGTAGCTTTGTACTGTGCTACTGCTTTATAGAATGTATGCTATTTGTAAAGATGTTACCAAGTGGTATTTTGGATGATTTTGGCTTTGTACTTTCCCTATATTGGGTTTCTGATTCGAATCAGATGCTGGGTGATAGACACTTGTACTCACAGGTCTAGATATCTAGGTTTAGCATCTGTTTTGCCATTACCAGAAGTTTGCAAGAATACTGCTCGCGTGATACGTTTATGTTGTTTAACAAGTACATTATTTGCACTTGCATATAGGAACAACAATCACCAGCGATTCTAATTATTCTGAAGCACATTCATGATATTTTGTACTTATATGTGATTGCATAGCATGACCTGCTGACATTCTAGTTATGTGTGCAGTAGATCTTACTAAATTTAACTTCGTTTTCAGGCGTCACCTATCACTGTTGGTGAGCGACAGGCTGTAATTGAGGAAAAGATATCCACAACACGAGGTATACTGTTGTCAATATTACTTTTTATGTTTAGTTAATGTTTGTTGCATACTAAGAAGGTTGTCAGATATATGTTGATCATGCTCCTTTTTTACCACTTTTAATCTTATTCTAGTGAGCGATGGAGGAAGAGGGAGATATCCTTCAGGAAGAGGTGGTTTCCGAAACGAGGGTTTCCGGGGGCGCGGGAGATTTGGTGGTGGACGAGGTTATGGAAGAAACGAATTCAGAAACCAAGGGGAATTCTCAGGACGGCCTAGGAGTTCTCATCGTCCAAGTCAAAATGGAGGTGGGCGTGGTGGACGTGCAGGGAACCATAATGTTACACCATCTACTTCAGAGTGAGCATATTGGTTAATAATATAGAGAAAGAAGAAAACGAAACAAACGTCCAGTGATAATTTTTTATAAGTCAAACACAAAAACCTCTTTGTCTTCCCTTGTTTAGGCACAAGTGCAGTTTGCTGAATTTCATAATTGCAATTTGCAATCATTCAAATAGAAGATGAGTGAGTTCATCAACCCTTCAGAAGTGTTATGTATTGGTCATGTAATTTTTGTTTTCCACTGTTAGAGTCATATTGAGCAAGAGTGTTCCTCTGATTGAGTCGTTAACATAAATCTCCAATGTGGAAGTTTGCCTTGTAAATTGGTACTATATGAATTCCTTTTCTCTTTGTAATAAGTTTAATGGAAATGGAAACTATTTATGATTTATGAGGTGAGTGTAAGAAGACTTTTTTCCATGTTTGGTGCACTTGCTTTAGTTGATATGGTATATTGAATGTTGCTGTAAAGGCATTGAAAACAATATACTTTTTTGAAAAATCATTTGGCAAACATTTTAATATTTCTAAGAAAGTTTGGGGTTTTAATTAATTTTTTTAAATAAATATATTAAATTTTACGGGAATCCACTTTGTCATCCTTTTACTTGAGAGTTGAGAACAATTTCATAGGAATATGAAAAAAATATATGAAGTTATTTTTTTCCTTGAAATCTTTATACCATGAATAATTTATTTTGAATCTTTTAACAAACATGGATCCATTCAGTTCTTATCCATGTATTATTAAGAATGTGATTTGTAAACTTGAAACAAACACCCCAAAAACTTAATGGAAAATCACCTAATAAAAAATTAATGTCCACTTGTAAAATCTTCAATATATAATTGGTAGGTTGAAAATGATATATTAAATCAAAAGTCAAAGGAAAATGATAATAATTGATTGTTATAGATAAATATGAGAGAAAAAATAAAATGAATAAAAATAAAGGAAAAATAATATAAATGAGTATAATGATAAAAAGAAGTAAGTGAATAGAAAAAAAAATATAACATAAAATATGAAAAAAGAAAGTGAATTGAAAAAAAAAAGCATGAAATGTTATTATAGAAAAAATCTAAGGACAATGAAAAAGTTTCAAATAATTGAATGAATGGTTAATATGTGTATTTTTAATTAATTATTTTTCTTCTTAAAATCTAATTTATAGAATAATATCTATAAATTTTTTAGATTAATTGTCATACTTAAAAAGTCTTACACTTTACAATCATTCATTTGTATTATTTTTTTAGTGATTAAAATGAAAGTTAAACTTTTTAAATAAATCAACAGCTGTGATTAACTGACCGTGTAAAAAATGTTTACAATTGTCCGTGCATATCAATTAAATCCTAAAATTTTTAACACCGGAGAGTTCTTATCATTTTATAATTTTGTAAAAAATTTCAAGTGAGTACCAGCTGATTTTCTTGTCTAAAAGAAATTATAATTGTCTTTTTTTTTCAAGTAGATTATAATTAAGGATGACAACTAGGCGGGACGGGGCGAGTTTAACTATACCCGCACCTGCATCCGTCTCCATATAATTCATCCGTCTCTGCCTTTTAATTTAATCGGAAGTAAAAATTTACTGTCCAGACTCGACTCTAGTGAAAAACGGGTGGATCCGCTCCCACTTGTAAATAAATAATTTCTTTTTAATTGCAAGAAAATTAATAATTTAATTAAAAATTGATTAATTTTATAAATTAATTAGTTATTTAATTAGTAAATAAATATTAATTTAATTATTTTAATTGTAATAAAGATGTTAATAATTTAATTAAAAATATAATTAATAAATAAATATTAAAATAAATAAAATAAGATAATTAAAGTAATATCAGGTGAGACGGAAGCGGGTGCAGGCGGGTCTTAGTTTCTTTTCGCATATGCACCCGTACTTGTAGTTAAGAGTCAGATTTTTCCCACACCCGCATCTAATTAAATTGAGTTTTTTCGTTAATTTCAGAACAAGTCCGAGCGGGAAAATTTTACCACATACCCCATCATTTATTCTCCTACCCCTACATTATATATTTTTTTACCAAAATATTCTCATATAAATAATTGTAAAATTTTCTTGATTTAATTATTTGATTCATAATTTAATAAATAAATCTATTTTTAAAAATTACTTTATTAATATTCTCAGCAAACATGACAAGTATTATCTATATCTATTATATAATCTTATAACGTTTCCATCAAAGATTTTCCGTTAATTTTTATTTATTTAATTAATTAATTAAATATAAATATATTTATTATTAACTCTATTATTTAAAACTTCTGACTAAGTCAATTCTTATATTTTAAATAATTATTAATTAACAAATACAATAAGACACGTCCTGAATTATTTTTAAAATGCAGTCACCTACCAATAATATATTTACCATAGTAACTAACCAACATAACTTTTCTCTTCATTCTATTAATTAATCTTTTATTATTAATAATTAAATATTATTATTATTAATTAAATAATAATTAAATTAAAATATTTAACATGTTTATTTCTCAATTTTCTCTCCACTCAACCCTCTCTATTTATATCATACAAACAATTAACATCTCTCTAACCCCACAATAATAGGACATATAATAATATTAAATTAAAAAAAAGTAAATAAATTAGACATATAATACAAATCTTAAAATTACTTGATACAAAAATAAATTAATAAAATATAAAGTTAAAACCAAAAATAAATGCAAAGATTAAACTAATCATAATGCAAATTTTTATTTTATTTTTGGTCTTCTATTTTTCTTACTATTTCTTTGATTACTCTTATTTTTTTCTTAACTTTGTCTTTTTTTTTTTAAAACTTCAAAAACATTTTAAAGTTTTTTTTAGTAATTTTAAAAAGTTTTAGTGATAACAAAGTTTTTCTTCTTTTAGTTTATTAATTTCAAAGTCTATAGTTAGAAATTTTAAATTTTTATGATTAGTTGTTTTGATTTTTATGATTAATGATTTTCATTTTATAATTGATTTTAATTTTGGTCTTGGGAATTATAATTCTTAATTATTATTAAAAAATAAACAAAAAATGATAAAATCGAAATACAAAAAAAATATATTTAGTTCTTTGGATTAATTTGAAGAATGAGAATTTTTGTAAGTGTCTATTGGACTTCGTACGTGACTTAGGTGTGACATTGAATCATCATTAAAGATTTGTGACCTTAATTTAATTATTATTTAATTAATAATAATAATATTTAATTATTAATAATAAAAGATTAATTAATAGAATGAAAAGAAAAATTATGCTGGGTAGTTACTATGGTAAATATGTTATTGGTAGGTGACTGCATTTTAAAAAAAAAAAAATTCAGGACATATCTTATTGCATTGTTAATTAATAATTATTTAAAATATAAGAATGTGACTTAGTCAGAAATTTTAAATGATAGAGTTAATAATAAATATATTTATAATTAATTAATTAATTAAATAAAAAAAATTTATCGGAGAATCTTTGATGGAAATATTATAAGATTATATAATAGATATAGATAATACTTACTATGTTTGATGAGAATATTAATAAAATAGTTTTTAAAAATAGATTTATTTATTAAATTCTGGATCAAATAATTAAATCAAGAAAATTTTACAATTATTTATATGAGGATATTTTGGTAAAAAAATATATAATGTAGGGGTAGTGGAATAAATGATGGGGTATGGGGTAAAATTTTTTCCGATGCGTGCGAGTCCGAATTTATTTGTGACAATTAGACAGAATCATTTGAATATTATAAAAATAACAATATATTTGTCTATAATTTTTTTAAAAATCTTTTCTAATCACAATTTAACTTAATTAAATACATAATCTTTTTTAAAATCTTTTCTAATCACAATTTAACTTAATTAAATACATAATCTTTTTAAAAATCTTTTCTAATCACAATTTAACTTAATTAAATACATAATATTTTTTAAAATCTTTTCTAATCACAATTTAACTTAATTAAATACATAATATTTTTTAAAATCTTTTCTAATCACAATTTAATACACCCACTAAGCATGTATAAATATTCATATTTCACCGTGAGCAAAATAAAACTCCCTTTTCCCCGTTACTCATAACACAGAACCTAAACCCTAAAACCCTCTTTTTCTCTCTCGCATCAATGGCTTACTCTATCTTATCGATTCAGTTCATCAAAGATTTCATTGATTCTCAAATCAATGACGACAAGAATTGGGACTTCAATGTGGTAACCTTTCTTGCTTACTCTCTTATTTGATTTCTCTTTTTTTCTTCTTCATGTTCTTCTTTTTGATTTTGATCTGTGCTAGTATGTGATTGAATGCGATTCCTAGTTTGATTATATGTTATCATATCAATTTTATAACTGCTTATTCGGATGATTTTTTTATAACTGTGCTTATTCGGATGATTTTTTTGATACAATATGGAGTTTTTTGAACTCAAAGATGCTTTTTAATTGTAAAACATATTTAACTTCTGTGAGGTTATGGATCCTTGTTGATTGTGATGCAACTGTTGGTTGTATTCGCACCTGGATTTGTGTGTATTTTTTAACCTAGGAGTGCTAAAGGTGTTGTTACTTTTGGATAGTTTTGTTCAGCTTACAATTTTTAGAATTTTAGGTATGATAATTAAAATAATTTGAAAATAAAATAGTGCCAATATATTTGATTTAAGTTGGGTGCATGAAATAGAGTGTGTCAAGCGTTATTTGTGTTAGAAATATCCTATAAAGCTTAAACTGGTAGAGATGAGAATTGTATGGTTGATTGGCGGAGATACAAGCCAAGAACATAAACGTTTCAGCGAGAGTTGTAGTAACTCTTATTTGTGTTAGAAATATCCTATAAAGCGTTATTTTGTTTTGGCACGCATAGAGAAAGCCTATAGAAGGATGTGCTTATAAGAAAAGTATATCGGATGAAATTTTGATTATCAATTAAAGAGAATGAAAAAAATGAACATTAAGAAGGATTTTGAATTTAGTGATTTGTTTCTCATTATACATGATTTGTGACAGGATATCATGCATTTGCCACTGTTTGATCTATGTAGTTGATCTTATTTAAGTGTAAACAAACTTCTGATGTTGTTGGCAGTCAATCTCGCCTTTTGCATCTTTAGCAATAATAGGAATGCCTTGAGTTTCATATTCGAGTTCAATCATATTCATGTTAAAGTGTAAGACATTATTGACTGTAAGCAGTTCTGGTGGGTAACTTTTGCATGATTTCTAACTGTTGCAGCAGTTAAATAATAGTCAGGTGAGAACAAATTGATCCAAGGAAAGTGAGTATGAAGAACTACATATGTAATTTACTTAGAATAATTGAGGAGCTTTTGATTAGGAAGGTTAAATTTAAGTCTTGCTTTAGATGAGTTGGTTTAATTGGATGGGGAATAATAAGATTGCAACATTCGGCTATTTAGTGCTTTTACTTCATTTAAATGTCATGTCCTCCTGTTAATTCATGTTTATTATATATTGGAAGCTTGACTTAATTTAGCATGAATTTTGAGAGTATCTTTATTTCCTTGCAGAAATTGCTTCGTGCTGCTGGATTGTTTGCAGGATCAATAGTCCTGATGCGAAACTATGGTGACCTTATGGCAATCTAAAGAGTAGAGGGCTCTATTGTGCTGTAATGAGTTGCTGCTATTATCTACTTAAACCATAATGTCTTGTCTGTAGTTTAAATTTAAATGAGCAGGATTACTTTCAGGCTTTTGATAAGCCATTATCATTGTATTTTCAATTTGGTTATGTTGACTGTGTCTCTGCACATTTTCTTGTGCTGAAATAACTGTCTTTTGACATGAAATAATAGACTATTTTAGCATTTTTTAATTGTGAAGGTTTAAAGAACAATAATAGCCCTCTCCTGATTATCGATTCTGTTCTGATTATCTAGATTCCTTTTTAAGGGAATAGTCTCGGCGCATTGTTCTGATATAATAAATGATGGATTGGATAGTATGGCATTTTAATTTCATATTTTGATTTAAAATTGTATAAATAAAAATGATAAAAATATGAAGCAAAATTTCTAAGCTTTTAGTCTCAGAATAACCGATATATTTGTCATAAAAAATGTTTTAAAATGACTGTTTTTTTGTATGTTCATAATAATAATAATAATAATAATAATAATAATAATAATATCAATAGTTTATAGTTGTATTCTTAATTATTAATATTTGATATGGACATTGTAGTTAAAGCACTCATCTATGAGTTTCATTTCATTTAGGATTGTGGATATACAACTGAAAAATCAAAATTTTATAAACTTAAATGTTGTAAAAATACTAATAATTGTATGTAGTGGTAATTGCTCCCTTGACTGGGGAAGACGGCTAACTACCTATTTTTAAGGGGTTGTGTTGTGATTCGTTCTTGTATGTTTAGAGGAGAGATACCAATTATACATGTTATTTGTCCTAAACACGAGGTACCATACTTTTAAAGATATCGTTTGGGCAATGCCTTACTAGGCAAGAACTCAGATATCGCACCTATTTAGGTACCGTTTGGGATTACCTTGCTAAGCAAAAACCTTGGTATCGCACCTATTCAGTTTAACTTTTCGGCCATTTAAAATCCTTTTACAAGCTTTAAAATATTTATTCTAAAAATATTAGTTTTTTTTTTATATTAAGATTGTTAAAATAATTACTTAGAATTTAACAAAATTAAAGTATTAACTTATTATTATTATTATTATTATTATTATTATTATTATTATTATTATTATTATGTGCAACTTTCATCTACTATTTTTATCTTCTTTTTGTTCATATTTTACGGCAAATCTCCAACACAATCTCTAACAATCTTTAGTTCCGATTATTCGATTTTGATTTATACTTTATTTATAATTAATATTAAAGTATACAATTTTAAAGAAGATGATAATAAATTAACAATCTTTAAAGATGGTGAAAGATACACAATTAATTTATATAATTTTTAAAATTGTAAAATGTTGATTTATGATTAATTTGTGGTTACAACTTTGATAGAGAGATATACATACATGTTTGTTTATCCATAACCAGTGTGAAAGATACATAATTATTTGGTATAATTAGTCACTAAATCCTTTAACTTAATTTAATATATTGTTTTGACCCCTTAGTTAAAAAAATGTTACACTTTAGTCCCTTAAAAATATTTTTGTTAATCAATTTGATTCTTTTGTCAATTTTTTAAATTGACAATCGTCAAATTTTGGAGATGTGCCTTTACAAAAAGGCTCAAGATACAAATTTGACTCAGTATATATCTTAAAAATCTGATTTAAAATGAATGTGTTTTGTTTTCGGAGGTTAAATGTGATTTGCAAAGTTTTAACCTCCGAAAACAAACTCTATGTAGTTTAAATTAGATTGTTGATACATCTGATGAGTTAAATTTATACATTGAGCCTTCCTATAAAGCCACATTTGCAAAATTTAACAATTTTTGACAAAAAATTAACAAAAATGATCAAATCGACTATCAAAAGTGTTTTTAAGGAACTAAAGTGTAATATTTTTTAATTAAATGACTGAAGCGAAACATTAAATTAAATTAAGGAGTTAAAATATGTATTAAACCTAATGATTTTAAATAAGTATACGTCATAGGAAGATCTAAACCTTTGTAAAATATGTTAGAAAATAATATATATTTATTTTAAGTTTAACATGTGTAATAAATTTAGATATGTATGATTTACAAATTATTCAAGTTTGTGAGTTTAAATAATTAAGAGTATACTTAAGTATATTTTAAATTATTGTAAGTTGAAAAATATTTATGGAAGAAAAATTATAGAAAGTATATGAGTTCATTGTTTATTATTTATTGTGATTTTTATTTAGATATACATAAAATATTACGAAACATAAATTTATTTCATAGAATTTGTTATTTATATGCTAGTAAGAAAATTGTTTATTTTAAAATAATATAAATAAATTTTATGATGTTGTAATTATATGAAATTTATGAATTAAATATTTGAATCCACTTCATAAAATAATAGTCATGACAAATTTGTATCATTAATGTAGTCGGTTGTTATAAATGTTTAATACATTAAATATATTTTAAATATATTTAAGTGGAAGTAAA